CATTTTGAATAAAGCAAGAAACAAAGAGTATGCAATGTAACCATCTAATTTATTTTCAAATCCTCATTCTTGAAAGTGAAATTCTGTATTTTGGAAATTTTGCATTAAATCTGTCATTGTTATTGTTGTTGTTGTTGTTGGGATGAAAAGTTAACACAAACAATATGGTGGCTAAACGAATATTATATGTAAATATTTTTTTTTATTTGTTTATTCCCCGACAAAATATATCGTCTTCCCCAACGGGGGGGGGGGGTTCTAAGCTTCCCCAACGGGGGGGCTATAGCCCCCAGTCCCCGTCTGGTGCCACCACTGGATGTACTCTGCATACATATTGAATAGTGTAGGAGATAATATGCATCCTTGCCAAATGCCTTGACCCAGAGGAAACCAGTCGCTGTCACTTTTATCTGTGTGGACACAGGCTAGATGGCCAGTGTACAGGTTCTGTATAAGATGTACCAGATGGGTTGGAACTCCAAGAGTTAGTAGAGCTTTCCAAAGATCACCATGCCTTACGCAGTCAAATGCCTTGGCGTAGTCAATAAAGCAAAGATACACCCTCCTTTGATATTCTTTACATTTTTCTATGATTTGATGTATGTTACCTATGTGGTCCCTAGTGCCTCTTCCTCCTTTTGAGATGTTTTCGAAGTCTTTCATTCACAATGTGCAAAAAATTTTACTTGCATGGGAAATTAGTGCTATTGTTTGGTTGTTCTTGCTTTCAGCATGGTCCCCCTTCTTTGGTATGGTGAGGAATACAGATTTTTACCAGTCTTCAGGCCAGATTTTTGTATGCCAAATTTTGTTGCAAAGTTGTAGCATGATATTTTCTCCAATTTCATCTGTGCTTTTCAGTAGTTCACCAGGTATCTCATCGGCACCAGGAGCCTTGTTGTTCTTCAGCTTTTGAAGGGCATTCCTCACTTCTGAGAGTAGGATGTCTGGTTCCTCTTTGATGTATCAATAATAAAATTAGCATTAACCTCCTGGGAACAAATAGGTTTTTACAGTAATCCTTCCACCTTTGTTTGATCTCAAAACTCTCAGTTAAAACTTGCCCATTTTCATCTTTAATGACTAAGAGCTTGAATGTACGTTTGCTGGTGAGGTCTTTCACACTTTTAAAAAGGTCTCTACTGTTATTGTGATAGTTATGGTCTTCAATCGCTTTTCAATCGTTTTAAGGTTAGGTCCTTATAATTCAAAATAATGATTACTTCTCTTTTTGTAGCAACTGTAAAAATAAGCCAAAGGTTATTTAAAGTAAACTTAAGAGCAGTTGTCTGTAAAAATCAAAGGAATTTCAAAAATAGTGGCAGACTAAAAAAATTCAAATTTTTCACATGGCTATAGCTTTGTTAAGAGAATCAAATATGAAGTTTTATTCACTTTGTGCGTATATTTCCATGGCAACGGGTAAATTTGTATTTTTGGCAATTTTTGTCATTTTTGGCTGTTTTAAAATGTTAATATTAGTAATAATCTGATACAATATTTCTGATATCCTTATGGTTTATTCAGTATAAATATATGTATAAGGTCAGTACATTGGGTACCTGTTGCATATTTTTACATGTTTTTTGGATTTCATAGTTGGAAGATACCATGTTTTTAAAAAGGGGTGGTTTTCTTTTTTTCCAAATTATGAAAAACTTCCAAATTTTAATTGCTCATGAACCTCAAAGTGGTGCTTTTTTAGAACTGATTTTTTACAAATAGGTAGTTGTAATGCTCCCTTAGAGAACTTCAGTTTTAAAAATGTGGGTAATTTAAAGGGGGGGTGCGGGGATAAAATAATTAATTTTTAATTTAAAATAGAGGGATGGGCGACCACAACGACGGTGACGGCACTCGATTTTGGAGCGCGGTATTCGAAAACGAGGCTCGTGAACTGGGTCCCAAAAAAAAACTGGTGCTACAGGATTTTGAGCTAGTGTTATAAGAT